TTAGTTAATTCCACTGGATTTCGTCGCCTGGCTTGCCTCCTTTTCCTTGACGCACTCGGCATAAAAATTCACGTGCTTCTCATACGCTTGCGTTGTTCGGTTTGTCGGCAGAAACACCAGTCAACTGATAAACACAAGATGTTTTCCCACTTGTTTTTGATTGTGTGCATATCTAAATGATACACCAATTAAATGGAAAGATTTTTTAATTTTTTTTAAATTTTTTTAATTTCTTTTCCATCGAATCATCGCAGAAATGTGATAAATCGGCCAAATTATTGCATATATCAATTTTTGTCTTAACAAAAAATCGATAAAAAAATTGCGTTCGTTAAACTTCTTTCATAAGGAGCGATAATTTTGAGAGGCGGCAATATTTTTATGAAAAAAGAGGAGGATTGATAGTAAATTTGCCGATAGCAACGCGATAAGTAATATATAATACGGTATGGTATATCGATAACCCATAATTGTCAAAAATGAATGTCGATGAAACGAATATGATTTTAAATAAAAATGCAAGGAATATCAGAAGATTAAAGATTCGTTTTGAAGTTAATCTTTCAAATGCGATTGATCAAATTAAGAAAAAACGATCAACAATATATTGTGATCGCGATACTTGAATGGAATCTTTTTTAGATTCTATTCTTTAACAATTGTAAAAAACCATTTACACGTTTCAAGTTCTCTCATTGGATATATCCTTGAGTATCCGCTAAATACATGCACAAATGAATATTTAAATACATGATTTGAAATTTTAGAAATTTTCCAGATTTGAAGACTGTTGATAAGCATTATTTTAAATACACATATTACAGATTTAGATCTTGAATTAAATTTTAGAAATTTGAAATAAATAAAAAACTATTCCTTTAGATTTTATAAACTGAATAAAAATGAAAAATTATCATATTTCAAATGATACGTAAATGTTTTTAATATAATTTTCGCAAGTTAAAGAGGGAAAAGTACGTAGCATGGTCAAGACCCCGTATTTTTCTTCGATTGTACCGCATCAGAGATAACGACAGGAAATTTTTATAAAAGCGATAATAGTTGAATCGGCGAAAAAGACAGAGACAAACGCATCGTTTCTCGCTTTATAAGAAAACAAGAAGAACGATTGATGACGTTAAACTTAAAAAATGTTCGATAATCTGACAAATTGGCTTTGCCTTCAACCTATTACTTAAATCATTCTATCATAAATTACGTAATTTATTTGATCACGAATTCTTCTTTGAAATAGAAATTATATCGAGAAAATAAATTTTCTCAGTTCAGAATTTATTGAATCTAACGATAAATAAATAAATACTTATCGTCGATTCGAATCAAATACAAAATACATATATTAAACAGATTATTATATCATAAATTAACAATAATCTATTAATATTTAATTAATATAATATTATTATATAATAATGTATATAATATATATATATTTTTATATATTTATAAAATATATATATAAAAGAAAAAAATTTGTGAAATGAGATAATGAAGCTTTAATAACCTTCGTTATTCATTACTTAATATGATTCGTTAATTTCGCATTTTTTTGGATAGTCATAAAGATAATTTCATATTCAATTTCGATTCAATAGAATATTAGTTTATAGCTTACAAAAATTTAGTTTCTTTAGGTCGGTATGTTTCAATGAAAAATCGTAGGTAACCACAGATCGGTTGACGAATATATTTTCACTCATATATTTTCTTGTTATACTTATTACTTATTTTCGATAATCGATCACAATAATCAAATTTTGAATCACTTGCTAATTTTTTTCATTTTCATTATTTTTTTAAATTTCGCAAAAACGTCGTATTTGAAATGATCGATAAACTTTTGCGCTGTTCACAAATACTAATGCACGAACATGGTGGAGCATACACCGTATCATGAACACACTCCGTCTTAAACTACACAACAGATTTGAGAAAGAGAAGAAACAAATAGGCAGTGGAGAGGAGAAAAGAAGAGAAAGATAGAAATGGAAGGAGAATCAGAGAGAAAGAGAACGAGAGAGCGTATACCCGACTTCCTAATGTCGTTAAGTTAAACGAATTAGGCCAGTTCTTCGATACTCGCACAAGTACGTAACCTTAGACTATATAGTCGACAAACTGAGATCGCGTTCAATTATGACACATGATTTAATTCTTTTAGTTTCTTAATATTTACCAGAAAAAACAATTTATGATTTCCACAATTAAAATACGGACAAATGTTAACAATAACGATTGGTCATACATTCATTTATATGACTTCCATCGATCGAAAATTATCTAAAAAAATGGTAATTATCTAAAAAAGATTTTTATATTGAGTTTCATAATTTTTAAATTTATTATATAAAGAACAAGATTTTAAACAATTTTATAACTAACTATACGTATAATCGGTAGTCAAACTTATTTTTCAAAATATTTACAAAAAAAATGATTACTATGCATAGAATTTCTATAAATATACATCCGTGACAAAATGTATATCAGCATGCGATTACTACTTATCAATTGTATATACATATAAACACATCAGAGCGGTTGACATTTAAAGTACATAACAGGTGAATTAATATCATCACACTTATAATTAATATCTATCTAGAGCTTCGATTCGTAGAATGAAAAAATAATATGAAACAATTTTTAAATAAAATTGATAGATGTTATAATAGATATTAACAATAGATATTAAATATAATATCATTATTATAATTATTTCGATCTAAAGATTATTTTATATTATATTTCATTTTATATTCGTGAATAGCTATTTTCTATGAATATTATTTATAAATATAATTATAAATAAAATTTCCGCATAATATCTAAATTCAATATCGATATCGAAATTGAAATATTTCGAAATCCATGAGAAAGAAACTAGTTTAGAATAGAATTTTTTGACTAATTCATATCATTATTTACATATTGCTGCTTGTCGCCACGAGTTGTTATATTAACAATTGATAACAGTTGCCTGTTGATGCACGTGTCATGAAGTATATCTATCGAAAATATAATAGTAGTAATTTTTTTTTGCAAATATTTCGGAAATTAAAATCGAATAGCGGTTATATGTATGAAAAATTTGTTCAAAATCTTACTTTTTAATAATAGTTCTTTATTTATTCAGAATTAAAATAATTCTTCAGAATTTAAAATAATTTTAAATAACTCAAAATTTAAATCTGTAATATACATCATATATTTAAAACATTGATCATTAGTAATTTTCAGATTTGGAAAAAAAAAATATATTATGAATAAATAAAGTAATAAATATGTTCTTTTTTAATCATTCACTTACACGTGATTTCAGAATGTGAAATTTAGATTCATAGAGATTCGTGGATCACAGTTTAAGAAATGTTATTCTATATTTCAAAATCATTAAAATCGATATTCGCTTCTCATGATATTATTTAAATTATCTTTTTTCTACATAATTACTATAATCACTATCAAACTATGTAAACATTTGCATTTGATTAAACAAAAGATCGATTCGATTAGATTCCGTGTCTAAAAATTTAAAGATTTAATTTTGAAAACAAAATCAAGATTAAGAAACAATCAAGGAAAAAGCTGACGAATGATTATAATCGAATTTGTTATAATATCGGCGGAACATAAGACGATAGTAACATGCATTGACAAATCCAACAGTCATGTAATATCATCAATCGTTATATACTCGTGTCACGCATCTCTTCGCTATTCTTCGTTCACGATTCGTAATGTTTTGATTAATGAGCCTATCGGTTGGTAAGTGAATCATAAAAGATTTGTTTTACGAACGACGAAACGAACACCTGATTGCATTTGTAATATTTACAAACATTATCGAAGTCTAAGTAAGAAAATAACAATTCGATATTTTTAATTTTAATTTCGATTTTTTTGAGAATAGGAAATTTTTTTTATTTATTGTGTTAAATATCTCTATCATCTAAGGATGTAATGTAAATATATATACATATTTTAAATTTTAATTTATCATTCTATCGCATATAACTTATATATATATATAATTGATTTAAAAATTAAAATTTTTATTCATAAAAATTGCAATTATCTGCTTGTGATTGTTAAGTGTTTCATTTTGAATATTAAAAGTTTGTGCAATAAATAATGATTTCAAATGTTTTGTTTATACCTTCGCTTTCTATACGTGATTGGGAATGATATAAAATGGATTGGAATGAAGTGGAACGGAATGGAATGAAACGAAATTGAACGTAACAGAACGGAACGGAACGGAATGGAACGGAATGAAATGGAATGGAATGAAATAAAAAAAAAGAAACAAGGTATATATTGTGTAAGTATATAAGTAAAGTAAGATTTTTTTTTAAGCACAGGAATGGATAATTTTCACATTAACACTCACATCACAAATTGTGATTCAAGTCGCACATTCGATTGTAGAAAATAAAATAAACGGTAAAAAATTAAAATGAAATAAAAATTCAAAGCGTCGCGTCACATGGTTTTTCACTGTATTTGTTGTATTTCCGTTGAATGATATTACGCGGAAAAATAAAGTAGTGATTCGCATCAAGCAAACCAGGACGAAATTAGCGAACGAATCGTGTACGAATGTGTTGCTTGACTGCGAGTCTCTTGCTAACTGAGCGTAGAACGGCCGTGACGGAGACACGCGAGCTCTGCTCGAGTCGAGCTCTTTCGTTACTGGATCTTACACCGACATGTTCTCTCCTTCTCTTTCTTCCTCACTATCCTTCTAATACGCATATGCTCCCTCCACTTCTTTTTCTTTCTTTTATATGTATGTGTGTGTGCACGAATACTAACGCAACGCACAAGTCACCGCTATTTTACCGAAGAATATTCATACAATAGCTTATTTTTTTCCAATAGTTTTTCAATTGGACTTATACATCAAATACAACATTCCGATAAGTTTTTCATGAAGTAGCATAGTAAAGTACCAAGTGATCAATTCACGATCGATTTTAATACTTATTAATAGGTGAAAAAAATATCAATCGTCACTAGCTAGTCACTATTAAATAATTATCGATAAGTGTGTTTACGACTTCAACAACGATCAACTTCTTTTATATATCCATTTACTCT